AGAGAACTATCCATGATAATGCCAAGATCTCCTTCCTGATTAGTTGTAGCTAAATTAACCCTCATCATATTATATGTATAGTTAGGGTTATTTTTTCTAATGTACATTACTTTACATTTATCCACATTAAATTTCATTTGCCATTTTGTTGCCCAGACACTTAGTTTGGTGAGATCTTTTTGAAGTTTTTCACAGTCGGCTTTGATCTTAACTACCTTGAGCAGTTTAGCATTGTCTGCAAAATTTACTACCTCACTGTTTACCCCTTTCTCCAGATCATTTAAGAATAAGTTGAATAGGATTGGTCCTAGGACTGACCCTGAGGGAACACCACTAGTTACCCTTCTCCATTCTGAAAATTTACCATTTATTCCTACCCTTTGTTTTCTGTCCTTTAACCAATTCTCAGTCCATGAAAGGATCTTCTCTCTTATCCCATGACATCTTAATTTATGTAAGAGCATTTGGTGAGGGACCTTGTCAAAGCTTTCTAGAAATCTAAGTACACTATATCTACTAGATCCCCCTTGTCTACATGTTAGTTGACCCCTTCAAAGAACTCTAATAGATTAGGAGGACATGATGTCCCTTTACAGAAACCATGTTGACTTTTGCCCAACAAATTATGTTCTTCTATGTGTCTGACAATTTTATTCTTTACTGTTGTTTCAACTAATTTGCCCGGTACTGACTTTAGACTTACTGGTTTGTAATTGCCAGGATCGCCTCTAGAGCCCTTTTTAAATATTGGTGTTACATTAGCTATCTTCCAGTCATTGGGTATAGAAGCAGATTTAAAGGATATGTTACAAACCATAATTAATAATTCTGCAATTTCACATTTGAGTTCTTTCAGAACTCTTGAGTGAATGCCATCTGGTGCCGGTGATTTGTTACTGTTAAGATTATCACTTAATTCCAAAACCTCCTCTAATGACACTTCAATCTGTGACAAGTCCTCAGATTTGTCACCTACAAAGGATGGGTCAGGTTTGGGAATCTCTCTAACATCCTCAGCCGTGAAGACGGAAGCAAAGAATTTATTTAGTTTCTCCTCAATGACTTTATCGTCTTTAAGTGCTCATTTTGTATCTCGATTGTCAGGGGCCCCACTGGTTGTTTAGCAAGGTTCCTGCTTCTGATGTACTTAAAAAACATTTTATTATTACCTTTTGAGTTTTTGGCTAGCTGTTCTTCAAATTCCTTTTTGGCTTTTCTTATTACATTTTTACACTTAATTTGGCAGTGTTTATGCTCCTTTCTATTTACCTCACTAGGATTGGACTTCCACTTTTTAAAATATGTCTTTTTATCTCTCACTGCTTCTTTTACATGGTTGTTAAGCCACGGTGGCTCTTTTTTTAGTTCTTCTACTATGTTTTTTAATTTGGGGTATACATTTAAGTTGGGCCTTTATTATGGTGTCTTTGAAAAGTGTCCATGCAGCTTGCAGGGATTTTACTTTAGTCACTGTACTTTTAATTTCTGTTTAACTAACCTCCTCATTTTTGCATTGCTCTCCTTTTTTAAATTAAATGCCATAGTGTTGGACTGCTGAGGTGTTCTTCCCACCACAGGAATGTTAAATATTATTATATTATGGTCACTATTTCCAAGCGGTCCTGTTATATTTACCTCTTGGACCAGATCCTATGCGCCACTCAGGACTAAATCGAGAATTGCTTCTCCCCTTGTGGGTTCCTGTACCAGCTACTCCAAGAAGCAGTCGTTTAAGGTATCAAGAAATTTTGTCTCTGCATCTCGTCCTGAGGTGACATGTACCCAGTCAATATGGGGATAATTGAAATCCCCCACTATTATTGAGTTTTTTATTTTGATCGCCTCTCTAATCTCCCTTAGCATTTCATAGTCACTATTACTGTCCTGGTTAGGTGGTCAATAATAAATCCCTACTGTTATATTCTTATTAGAGCAGGGAATTAGTATCCATAGCGTTTCTATGGAACATGTTGATTCATTTAAGTTTTTTACTTCATTTGATTCTAAATTTTCTTTCACATATAGTGCCACTCCCCCACCCACACAACCTATTCTGTCCTTCCGATATGTTTTGTACCCCGGAACGATTGTGTCCCATTGATTGTCCTCACACTACCAGGTTTCTGTGATGCCTATTATTTCAGTATCCTCTTTTAACACGGGGCACTCTAGTTCACCCATCTTATTTTTTAGACTTCTAGCATTTGTGTGCAAGCACTTTGAAAACTGTTTATCTGCCCTTTTCTGATGTGTCAGATTTTTTTTTATGTGAATGTTTTTCATCTGATCTGGCCCATACTTTATCCTCTTCCATCCTCTCCTCCTGACTAAAACCTAGAGAATCTTTATCATAGACTCTCCTCTAAGAGACTTCTCTGTCCAATCCATGTGCTCCTCTGCACCAATCGGCTTTCCCCCATCTCTTAGTTTAAAAACTGTTCTGCGACCTTTTTAATGTTAAGTGCCCAGCAGTCTGGATCCACTTTGGTTTAGGTGGAGCCCAGCCTGAAAAGTTTCCAGAGTTCCTTATAATGCTGAACCACTCCTCCCTACACCATTGTCTTATCCACGCATTGAGACTCTGAAGCTCTGTCTGCCTACCTGGCCCTGCGCGTGGAACTGGAAGCATTTCTGAGAGTGCTACCATAGAGGTCCTGGATTTCAGTCTCTTTCCTAGCAGCCTAAATTTGGCCTCCAGGACATCTCTGGTACCCTTCCCTATGTCATTGGTACCTACATGTACCACGACCACCGGCTCCTCCCCAGCACTACTCATAAGCCTATCAGATGCCTCAAGAGATCCGCAACCTTCACACCAGGCAAGCAAGTTACCATACGGTTCTCCGGTCATCGCAAACTCAGTTATCTACATTTCTAATGATCGAATTTCCCATGACTAACAACTGCCTTTTCCTACTGACTGAAGTTCCCTCCCCTGGAGAGGTAACCTTAGTGCAAGAGGATACCCCAACATCTGGAAGGAGGGTCCCAACTATGGGAAGGTTTCCTTCTACTCCCGTTGACTGCTCTCCTTCCCTGAGTCTTTCATCCTCCTTTACAGTGCAGGGGCTGTCTAACTGGAGGTGGGACAATTTTACAGTGTCCTGGAAAGCCTCATCTACATACCTCTCTGCCTCCCTCAGCTCCTCCATGTTGCAACTTGGTTCGGTGATGTGATGGGAGCCCCCAGGAGTTAAAGCCGATTACCCAATGAAAACTACTGGATGATGGTAAACAGAATGGTTCACTTATCAAAAATCAAGTGACTTTTAAATGAATTTTAAAACAAGCAATTGCCTAATGCTTTTACAGGAGGGGAAAACTGAACCAAACTGCACATAACTGATTACAAACTTTGTGATTATAATTCGATTATATTAAATTACTATCTCTAATTCGCTTAAGGCAGTGTAGCATGCAAGCAAAAAATACAAAAACAAAGCCAAAATGATGATAATAAAAACTCTGTCCACTGCCAGCCCCTCTATGGTTATTTTAGGGCAGCTGGTAGAGTTAGTCATAAATCTACCTCTACAACTTAACAACTCCTATGTTTCTATTTCTAACACTTATACTTGGCCTAAATACACCACCACTACACAACACAGGATTATACAGTTTACACAGTGTGGTTAATAGAACTCAGTTACACTCTACAGAATTACACAGTGAAATTAACATGATTCAACTATTAACTAAACCAATAACTAATATATTTAATAGTGATAGAAATGTAGCTGTGTTAGTCTGGGGTAGTTGAAGCAAAATGCAGGACAATGTAGCACTTTAAAGACTAACAAGATGGTTTATTAGATGATGAGCTTTCGTGGGCCAGACCCAGTAACGATAACAGTGTAAAGATACACTAGAACTCGGATTCACGCACCACTATCTTTGACTCGAAGGGTGGGAAGGCAGCCTCAGGGTGATCAATCCTTCAGCCAGGCAAAAAAGACATGTGCCCTCAACATTCGGAACCTCCCTGAACAAAGAGGTTGAGGGAGTTTTATAACGTAACCTGATATCCGGTACCTTATTAGGATCTGTTCCCTGGCCATGCCTGATAGGCTGGTAAAGAGGTAATGTGCAATATTGCCCTATAGGATTTTTCATGATGCCCGCATGATGGCCCCGTGGACAGTGCAGGGTGCGGGCATGGTCAGTGTGCATGGCAGTTGCGTCTTATCTCCCTGTGCCTACCTCCCTACCTTCAAGGACCGGTCAAGAGAGTCTTATTTATCTCTTGCAGCTGTGCTCTATCTTTTCATGCTCACCTCCCTGTTCTTAGATGCCTACAAGGTTAAATTCCATTCATAGAAAGCTGCATTGTGCACTTACAAGTTATGCTTTCTCACAGTGTGTCAGCGACCTACATTTTCTGTGAGGGGCCTTTGTGTGGCAGAATGAGCAATGTGCGCACGAAGCCATGGTCAAAAGGACCTGCTCTGCGACACTTCAGTTCAGCCACCATGGCCTTCAAAGACTGTACGTGGTCTCTGAGGGCCAAGAGCTCCTTGCACGTAATGCACACATATGCCACTCACCCATAGGGCAGGTAATCATACATACTACACTGAATGCATAAACAGGATAGCCCCCACTCTGCTGCTGGGCTTCTGCCTGCATTCTTTCCTACAGCTACCTAGATTATTGATAGGGCTTCTAGTTAAATCAGGAAGTGTTGATTAAAACCTTTAAACTAAACTATAAAGAATGGCAAGTGTACCTTGGCTCCTTCCAACTCCCTTCCAAAATTCCCTGTTTGCTGCTCCTGTTCACAAAGCTCCCTGATTGCGGAATCACTGCCTTATAAAGCCCTGGCCTTCCTGATAGCTCCACCCCCTAACTAAGGCTCAGCCAATTAACAGAGGCTTCTAGATTTCAAACCTTTAGAAGCTCACAGCTTCCAACTGCCAGCCACAGCACACACTCCTTCAAACAAACAAAAACTCAGCACACAGCAAGTAACCCCCAAACACATACTACAGACAGCCACTTACCTCAAGGGTCCTGTATTTGCTCCTCCTTTATGTGGAGAACTCTATCTCAAAACTTCCTGTTTGCTGCGCCTGTTTGCAAAGCTTTGCATTCTCTCTTTGCTGGTGCTTCTAAAGGACATAGATGGAATAGAAGTCAGTCACTTGAGAGTAGATGGGATGCAACTTGTCAAGAGGCCTTGGAAACCTTGAAACACAAATTGACTACCACTCCAGTCTTTGGGTTTGCTAACTAAAAGCTGCCATATATTCTTCATTCTGATACCAGTACTACTGGGTTAGGTGCAGTTTTGTATCAAATACAGTCTGGGAAGGCACAAGTTATTGTTTATGCCAGTAGGGGATTGAGCAACAGTGAATCAAATTATCCAGTTCACAAGTTAGAATTTCAAGCCTTGAAGTGGGCAGTTTGTGTTAAGTTCCATGATTTCTTAAATTGAGCTCCATATAAGATAATGGCAAATAACAACCCCCTTACTTCCATCCTGAAGACTACAAAATTGGATGCAACTGGTCATAGATAGGTGGCAGCCTTGTCCTTATATAATTTTGATATCGTGTATAAATCCGGCAAAGCTAATGTTGATGCTGATGGTCTTTCTCGGCGGCCACATGCTATTCTAGGGATAGATGAAGATGACATAGAGCAGATAGAAAGAATTATTAAAAAGTTCTCTCGAATTCAATCTTATTCAGATGAATGGGATAAAGAGATCTACAAATCTGTTATGAAAGTTCATACAGTACTCCGCACATCTCATGAGAAAGATTTGAAAGACAAAGCAAAAAGATTAGTAATTGTTGCTCCAAATTGTGTAGAAACCTTGCCTAATAATTCAGAAAGCATACAACCAGAGTTTTAACATCCAGATTCTAGGCCAGGAGGACCAAATGCGTCAGATTCAGTTCCTATTGAATGGAAAGTCTTACAGCAACGTGGCAAATATATAGCCCGTGTGATTCACTTCCTTGAGGCAGGCTATAGACCCAAGCTGGAGGAGGAAAAGAAAGAAGAATATGAGACTCTGTAATATTTATGGGAATGGCCCAAGCTTTTCCTTTCAAATGGGGTCTTGTATTGGAAAGTCCAGCAGAGAGGAGACAATTTAGACCAGCTATTAATCCCCTACACACCTTGGGATCAAGCATTAGAAGGCATCCATGATTAAATGGGTCATCTTTGGACTGAGAGAACTCTGGAATTAGCTAGAGACTGATTTTATTGGCCTAGAATGACCAAGACAGTAAAAAGGAAATGTCAAGAGTGTGAGCGCTGTATTAGAAGAAAAGCTCGAGAGGAAAAAGCTGCTGAGCTTGTGAACATTAAAGTATATGCTCCTATGGAACTGGTATGTATAGACTTTTTAACATTAGAGCCAGATGCTTTGGGCATTAAGAATATTCTTGTGCTAACTGATCTCTTCACTAAGTATGCTCAGGCTTATCCAATGAAGGCTCAGACGGCCAGCACTGTAACAAGTGTGCTGTGGGTGAATTTTATCTCTCACTATGGGTTTCCCTGATGAATCCACAGCGATCAGGGTGCCAACTTTGAATCATAGTTGATTGTTTAATTAAGTAATATCACTGGAGTAAAATCACGTACAACTCCTTATCACCCCATAAGGAATCCAGTGGAGAGGTTTAATCGTACTTTACTAAATATGTTAGGTACTCTAGAACAGTGTTTCTCAACCTTTTTTCTAATAAAGTACCCCCTTTAAAAAAAAAATTATAAGTACTCCCAGTACATACAGTTTTCAGACACACAACATTTTTTTCTACCATTGCAACACATTTGTTTAAACAACTTAATTGTAGCTGGGCGGGCAATGAAATTTTTGGGTGTAAAAAGTACAAAAATAATAAATCATTGTAAAACTTAAAACAAAAATTCAGTTTTCTCCAAATGTCAGTTGTATTGACATACCTCCCTGCCCCCGACTTCTCTCAAGTACCCCTAAAGGGTACTCGTACCACAGGTTGATAAACATTGCTTTAGAAGAGCCTAAGAAAACCAACCGGTGGAAGTATGTCAAGCCATTAGTTCATGCATCTAACTGTACCAGAAATGATACAACAGGACATTCCTCATGTTTTTATGTTTGGGAGGCAACCTATACTGTCTATTGATTAGTGTTTTGGGATTAAAGCCAGAAGACAAGTGTGATGGGGCAGACAAGCCCTGCACTCTGGCAGAAAGCTGGGAGAACCCATAGTGGCTGGAAGACACAGGTGCAGACATCCTGGGTTGCTGGGGTGCACCGCTAAGGGAAACCCGGTGGGAGAGGGAGGAGACATACGCCGCAGGAGACACACGGCGGCCATGCAGGCGGTGCGGCGTGCTCTTTAAAAAGGGCACGCCACATGCCCAGAGGAGGGAGGTGAGCCTTGGAGGAGGAGCTTCCAAGGAATAGGGGGGAGATGGCTGTGAGGATCCAGGAGCCGGACAGGACTGGCGGCACCCCAGGACAGGTTGCTGGGAAAGCACCGAAGCGGGGCAGGACCAACGACAACCCTGGAACGGCGAGCCTGAGATAGAATCAGTGGGACCCATTGGGGAGAGGGATGAGCTGACGGTGGACTTGGTGCGTGGGTAAGGGAAGGCGCCGGCAGAGTAGGAAGTGGCCTGGAGTAGGGCTTTGATGCCCGCAGGTTTACGTGTTACAGGTGGTGATCTCATCAACCAATAGGGAAGGGGTAACAGTTCAACCCCTTTCCCGGACCCAGTGGAGAGGGTGGGCCTGGGTCCGCCTACCCCCACCCCTGAAGTCTGAAGACAACAAAGGGTTTCTTTTGACTCTGTTGTACTGTGGGATCAGGATTGGACTTCACTGCATAGAGGGATTGGAGGCAAAGAGGGTTGAAGACATAAGCCCTCCCCCACAACCGGTGTGAGGGGGAGGCCATACAGGACAAAGGGGGTTGGGTGATGGGGACATAGTCAAGAGCGATCAGTATGATAAATCCTTGGAGAAAGAGGCCCTCCCCACTATGGGAAAGGCTACAGAAAGGGGGGTGCCCCTCTGCTCTCCAGGGGAGCCCTACAACAAGAAATAACTCATCAGGAATATGTAAGAGATTTGCGCCACATGCTTCTTTATCTATATGACCTAGCTGCTAAAGAAAATGAAAAAAACTAATTAGCCAACAAATTAAGATGGGATGCCAAAATAATTATGTCAACCATGGAACCAGGAGATTGGATTCTAGTACACAACCTGAGTCTTAGGGTATGTCTACACAGCAAAGTTATTTCGAAATAATAGCTGTTATTTCAAAATAACTTTACTAGTGTCTACACAACCAAACGGCTATTTCAAAATTAATTTGAAATAGCGCAGCACTTATTTCGAATTTGGTAAACCTCATTCCACGAGGAATAATGCCAAATTCAAAATAGCTATTTCGAAATAAGTGCTATGTAAACACACATATAGAAATAGGGGGCCTCCAGCTTTCCCAGGGTGCCCTGGTGACCACTCCAGCCTCAACCAAGAACACTCCTCTCCCTCTCCCCACCCCGGAGCCCTTAAAGGGGTTGACTCTGGCCACAGTGCGGCTACGTCTACACTGGCCCCTCTTCCGGAAGGGGCATGTAAATTTCAGCAGTCGTCGTAGGGAAATCCGCGGGGGATTTAAATATCCCCCGCGGCATTTAAATAAAAATGTCCGCCGCTTTTTTCCGGCTTTTAAAAAAGCCGGAAAAGAGCGTCTAGACTGGCCCCGATCCTCCGGAAAAAGCGCCCTTTTCCGGAGGCTCTTATTCTTACTTCAAAGTAAGAATAAGAGCCATTTAAATGCCGCGGGGGATATTTAAATCCCCCGCGGATTTCCCTACGACGACTCCTGAAATTTACATGCCCCTTCCGGAAGAGGGGCCAGTGTAGACCTAGCCTGCCTGTGCCAGCTCCAAGCCTGCCAGCCCAGAGCCAGCAGTCACTGCCCCTGACCCAGTGGCCCCAAAACATGAGCCAGCAAGCCACTGGCAGCCAGCCCTCCACCACTCCCAAGAGCCTGTCAGGGCCCAGAGAAGGTGGGCGCCTTCTTGATCCAGGGTGGAGATCCTGGACCTTATTCAGGTTTTGGAGGGATGCCCCCAACGTCCATGATCTCCGCAGTAGATGGAAGAAAGCGGCCATCTATGGCAGGATAGCTGCCAGCCTGGTGACCAAAGGCCACATGCAAAGCCAGGAGCAGGTTTGCATGAAAATCAAGTTGGTTCAGCAAGATCCCCTAACCCTGAGCTTCCACTCCCCCTCCTTCCCCTTGCTTCTTCCTGCCTGCTCCCTCCTCCCAGGTTTCCCTTTTCCCTCTCCCACCTTCTCTTCTCCCCTCTCCCCTCTCCTTTCCCCAGTCTAACCAGAGTTTCATTCCCCCTGCAGTTTTGTTAAAAACGAGAGTTTGTGTTCATGAAAATTCATGTATTTTATTTGACATCAGGAAGGGGGGTTAGGGAGGGGTAAGTGGAAGGACGTGAGGGAGGAATGAGGCACAAGCCCCCAGTGGGGCAGACCAGGGAGGCTCTTAGAACTCCTCAGGGTGGAAGCTCTCCCGCAGGGCTTCCTGGATACTGACAGGCCCCTGATGGACCTCCCAGATGGCAGCCTGCAGAAAGTGCAGCCAGGCTAACATCCAAGGTTACATTTGTACTACTGTCTCTCTCTCTCTCTCTCTCTCTCTCTTTTCAGGTATGTAGGGCTGTGTCTACATTGGCATGATCTTGCACAAAAGCAGCTGTTTTTGCGCAAAAACTTGCTACCTGTCTACACTGGCCGCAAGTTCTTGCGCAAGAGCACTGACGTTCTAATGTATGAAATCAGGGCTTCTTGCACCAGAACTCCTGTTCAGGAATAAGCTCTTTTGTGCAAATGTTCTTGCGCAAGAGGCCAGTGTAGACAGGCAACATGAATTTCTTGCACAAGAAAGCCCTCTGGTTAAAATGGCCATCGGAGCTTTTTTGTGCAAGAGAGCGCCTACACTGGCATGTATGCTCTTGTGCAAAAGCACAGCCCCAGTCAGCCTGAGCCAGCTCCCGCCCAGCTGCATCTAATTGGCCTGCAGCTCTCTGCTTCTACTTACAGGGTTTTTTACCCTTTTGGGCTGCCTTT